CAATCTGCTTGATGTCATTTCATCAGAACGACTTCCATGGAAGAACTAAACATAATTACTCTACATATGACTCCAAATCTCAAATAACTTTTGACTTTGAAAAAAAAACCGAGGCAGCAGAACCGTTAATTCTAACGATATATTTTTCATTACTGGAGAGTAGATACAAGGGAAGCGGATAAATTATTGTTGTTTGACATTATTTACTTCAGTATCATGGATATTTATCAATTATACTAAAAAAGCAATGATGCTGGGGCGTTGGTTAGTATTGCTGGCTGACGGTATCGAGAACGTGTATTTAAAGTTAAACAATATGATTAACCTTTCCAGTGAAGAATCCGTTAGCGGCCATAAAATATGTCGGTGGATAAATAATATGCGTCTAAAAATACGCACGAAGTACTAGGAAAAACTATTTAGTCATAGAAAATATTTTCCGTATCCGGCGCGGTCTCTACTATCAAATTACGTCTCGGCATCGCCAACATACATTCTATTACACAACTAATAATTGTTTTTAGCATTCTGAGGCATGTTCACTAGTTTTAATTAATCACATATTTTTACTCGATATCGGCGTATATGTTCATAAAAATATTCTGACTTGGTTTGCTTGCATAACATTAAAAAAAATCCTTTTTATGAGAATCTCCAAAATTGCGTCCAAAATTTAAACAATTTCTTATGCAAATTTGAAATTTTGTTTTCGCCCCGGGCACAGTTTTTTCGGGTATTTGAGTCGTTTTGAAAAGAAAATAATTCTATATACTTTTTCTGTAGAGTATAGTTTTCGAGATTTAATCGATTTTGTGCCGATTTCACCAACATTATTATTATGGACCAATAGGAAAATACCTTATCGAAATGCAATTTGACGGAAGCTGTCAAAGGTGTCAGAATATCAGTGATTTCTATTAAAATGTTGAATAAAATCGTAAAAATTCGACTCTATTATAAACAAGACCACTTTTTGATTCTAACATGATGCTTTTGTACAGAAAAAACGGGACAACTTTCATGTATTTTGATATATGTTATAGGTTTACATTTAACAATCCGTTATCCCCTCAGCGAATGGGAATGGGAGAAATAATAGGTCAATTTTCTAGCTGTTAAATTTGGCAGCAGGTTTGGTCGTTTGTTAATTCATGGCAATCTCGAAATTTGTTAAGTTCAATATACTGTGTGTACATTATGAGATCATTATAGCTACACATACCTGTTGAATTGTGCGAATTTAGAAAATAGAATATAAAATGTATTCCAACCAATTCCTCATCTCTCTTTACATCATAATAGTAATCATTTGTTATAAATTCATGGGTTAATGAATTTCTACCATGAATGCGTGGAAAAAACAAAATAAGAAGAGATCTAAAATAAGGAGTTATTGAAGGCCTAAAATAGCCAGGCGCTAATAATTCCTGGCCGTATTTGAATATCTAAGCAGGCACAGTAAAACAAAAATAAGACTTGGAATTAATAAAGTTTATTTCGAGAGTTGGCAGAGTTTGCTCCACTGGGTAGTGGTGTTGAAAGAGTAATCATACGAAACTCGGGTACTCGTTACTCATAGATACCCGAAGTAACGAGTACCAATCTGAGCACGAAATGATTACTTTGATTACTCTCTTTTCCGTATCCCTAACCGGTACCTGTACAATCGTTGATCGTTGAGTGGTAACGCTGGTTAGACTGTAGCACTACCGCTCATGCCCATATCAGATCAGATGTTTTTAAGTATTTCTAGTAAATACAAAGTATTTTCAGTTAGTAGGCTCATATGAGTCATATGACACTCCATCCTATGATAACTCATCTCGATAAGCATACAGTTTGAAGATACAATGTTTGCATTAAACACGATAGTCTAGAATAAACTATGCTTATAACTTTTTGCAAATTTTAAGGTCGTCTATTTACTTACAAGATTCGGTTCCATTCAACTTGTTTAAATTCGACATTAATCACACGACGCAAATTGCCAAATCGTTATACTCATACTACTCATAGTAATCAAAGTAACGAATACAATAAACGATTACTTTGTAGAAGAGTAACGATTAGTAACAAGTACTCGAAAGTAACGATAACCAACACCACTACCACTGGGACGAAGTGTTGACGGATCCCACAGAATTATGAGTCACTTGTCGATATGGTTATTTTTAAAATATCAGGAGATAATCAGCTGTTATTCAAATCAGTGTATATTATGTTTTGCGATTCAAATAACGTCTAATATATATATAACCCAGAATATGTACTCAGTGCAACAAGAAAGTTATTGCAAATTTCTAGTTTTTCTGCAGGTTTTAAGTTTGCCGGGAGGTTTACGATATAGGTTTGAGTATTTGTTGATCGCTGTGAATTTAGTGTGCATGTTTGTTAAGTTCATGAACAACGAAAAATATTCAACTTTATAGATGTATGGATATTAAAAAACCAGAATGGTTTTGTGGGAATATCAATGTAAGGTATCAATGAATGCCAAGTAAATGAATGAATGTTTGGAAACGAGCAATATCTATGAACTTTGTGGTAGAGCCAGTCATCAAGTAGGTGTTTAATGGCTAGCTGCAACAGGAAAAAACACCCAGTAGATGATCTTGAATCAGTAAAATCGCATATCAATTTAAGAAAATAATATTATCATGAATAAAAAATCAACAATGGTAATTAAAACATGAATTTTATTCAAAAATCAAACATTTGTTTAAATTTTGACTGAATTATATGTAATTTCTTAATATTCAATAAGCTGGTGATGTTTCAGTGACAAGATGTCATCTCATACTTTGACAATATTTTGTTTTCAACATTTCATAGCTATTGGTTGCTAAAATTTGTTGATTGGAACTTGAAGCTCATTCGCTGTATTTGACGGGCTGTTACCCTATAACGGACTGTTGTTGGTGAAATTGGCCCTTAATATTTTATAAATTGCAAAATATGCGATTTTCAATTCCGAAAAATATTATGAGGAAACGAAAATCTTAAGGTTACAAAGTTGTTACATATTCTTGAAACATCCATTAACAAAATCCCAAAGCATGCTTAGGGGTATGGTAATCGCGAAAAAACTTTGTGAATGAGATATTGTTTTTTAAATGTCATATAACATGTACACCATGAAAAACCATTCATGCATTTATATCCGTCGGTCTACCTGTCTGCTAATCCTTGGCCCATCAATAACTTGGAAAGTACTGCTCGGCCAAGGACGAAAACGCTTTGTAGTTTTCTAAAATCCGTTCATTGGCGGCGGAAAATAATGTCAAAAACGAAATGAAACAAAATCTCTCCAACTTTTTTTTGACGTCTCGGAGAATCCTGATAATATTTGAAAAAACTTTCAAAAGTAAACAGTTGCAATTTCTTGATATTATTATATTAATACACCTCCAGCCACTGTAATTATATGCATCTGCTAGACATATTTCACACATCATAGATTTTCCCGTACATTTGCGGGTCTCCTGTCGATCTCGAGTTATAGCAGAGTTGCTAGGTTCGTTTCGACAAAAGCAGGTAGCAGGTGATGCGGTATGCTAATACGAGGTGGGCGCGATATTATGTATATACCAGCATTATATCTAGAGTGCAATTTTATGGGGTTTCTTGATTTCGTGATGTTGTAATATTATATAGTCAGGTATGTAAGTACGTCTCAAGAGCTACTATAATCAGTTTTATCACCAGAGTTCCAAATGCTACGTCTTTTTGATGGAAAATTGTACTAGCAGTTGATTCGAAGGAGTGGTAAGCATAAAATCAATCTACCTGACGCAATTTTTTTCGTGTGTGCGAGAGAGATACAGAAGAGATCCATCCGTGCTATCAACTTTAAGAGAGTGTTCATAAGAACCTTTTTTATTTAGAACTACGGAAAGAACCTAAAAAAAAACCGTCCGAAAATATTTTTGGAATCTGTTTAATAAGCGCAACTTTGCGCTTGGCTATATACAGATGCCTTAAAGGGTAACATTCTTAAATAATAGTCTAATCATATTAGCAAGTATCCCCGAAATAATTGTAAAGTCGGGTTTTATTGGTGCAAGTTGTTCAAGAGGGTATTTAAAACATAAAATGGGTACACAAATTTTTGGGGAAAACCTTTTATTTGACAACAAAGGAATCGAAAGTGTTGACAGGAACGAAAAAGCTTTTCATATAGCTAATACTAAGAGCAAAAATGTTATGGCCGAAAATCGAGGCAAAATGCAGGTTTTGGCGCTTCTTGGTAATGCGACGATGGTTTCTCGCAGATACTTAAAATTCTTCAAATTCGTAGGATTCGTACTTCTAAATAACCACAACAAAATTGGAGTAGATTGGCCAAGTAGTTTTTGAGAATTTCCAATTCCTTTTTCCAAAACACCTGTTTTCCGGCCACCACTACTACTTTATTGAGCAATATGTATACAGAGTTACTTCAAAGGGAATTTAAACATTTAAAAGATATATAAGTATTTAATAAAAATATTATATTCTAAATATTTATTGAATGTTTAAGATAACAAGTATTTGGGTCAGATAAAAATATTGTTAAATATTGAATAAATATTTAATGAATATTTCGTGCTATCGGCTATTGGGGGTGGTAGAGAACCTGAAGAAAATTGAGATTCGCTGAATTTTTCTCCCTGCTTTTTAATTATGACAAGGACATCCCCCCCCTAGAAAATAATTGGTTGTCAAAGTGGGCAGTAGGTGAAATAAGCTTGAGAACCTCTCGCTTATTGCATCTCAAGCAATGGAGTGATACAATTGAGTTATGGGTACTGAATAACAGTATTCGGGATAAAATATAAAATGCTCTTAAACTGCTCATTTTTGACATGCCCTACCCAGTGCATCAGTATCCGAACAAAAAACGTTTGCTAGATAACCATGAAATCATAAGCTTAGGAAAGAAGCCTATGATGCCTTCCAGCAATCTGGATCCACTACGTACATTGAACATAGTGAAAATATTTGAATTTCGTATTTATTTATCGTATGCGGTTAAGACACATTAAACACAGAAAGATCAAAAGAAAACGCTAATATAACAAACTTTGAATGTATTTCATAGTTCTAATATTAGTAGTGAACGGCTTACGGTATACATCATACGACATGTATCAATGGTACCTCTTGTACGTAACTCTTTGAAGTATGAATGGTGTGATGAACCAGCTTAATACCAGTAAGTCATTTGCATTGTGCCATCTGAGGCACGCTGAGTATCCATAACACTTTGCTGCCTAACTAGTTTTTTGATCGACACTTTTCTGATTGAGGGGCCCTCCAGTGGAGTTTTCTCTGTTGGTAACTCTACGGGCGGCGATCTTAATTCTAGATCTTCGTATGAACCAGTTACTGATGATCCGGGCCTGAAAGAAGAACGAATGCCTCAGGATCTAACAGCCTCTGTCACATTTCAAGTTCCTGATGAGTTTCTAGTAGTTAATTTTATCTTGGCCTGGCAAGTAAGAAGAATGAGCCAAATGTTTGATCACACTGATAAGTTTTGAGTAAGGCCACCTAACCGGCATGTCTAAAGTGAAAATACAAACAGTCCAGACTCCAGACATTTCCAGAATTCTTTCCGATTTGCAATGAAATTAATGCGTATAACTGTGAGTGAAGAAAGCCCAAAGATTATGCGACATTGTTCCTTGACATTATTACGATCGATCTATAGCTAAAGATACTCGCTAGTTAGCATACTTACTTTAAAGGTATACATCGGAAACAATCAGCCATGGTGAAATTTTTACCAAATTCTTCACCCTCTTCAATGGTATTGGGTAGTCGATGGTGCAGGGTTTCAGGTAAGCGCAGTCCAGCTAAGCCTCCAATTACTGATATTACACCCATGATGATCAAAGGTAGAATTAGCATCTCTGAACCCTGATGTAGGAGGTGAAGGTTCAGAAGAATATAAACTATGTGCGTATATTTTTATTCATATAGGTTAAGTGGTGGAATAGCGTAAGCTAAACTTCGCCCAAATAGTAGTAGTATATAATTTGGTCTGGTACAAAACATAATGTTCAAATGGCAAGTCAGAATAGAGAAAGGAATGGCATAATGACTAAAACTTTAGGTTTGAAACAAAATGAAGATAAATATGAAGTAACATCATAAGGTATGTTCTGTATTGCATCCATAAATAAAAATTTAATATTGTAGTGGTCCAATAAATATAACCTACCCATACACATGCTGATATACACACATATACGGACGTACCCATATACATACAAAATATTTAAAGAGAATAGCTAATAACACTATAAACATGCACAATTTAAAAGTTCCTTAATGTAATGAAAACATTTGTCAGTTAAATACTCAAAAACCATTTTTTTAACATACAGAAGTTATCTTTATCCCTCAGATATCTAGCTAGAGCATTACATTGTTACTAAGTTGCGGCGGCCTAGTGCGAGTTAAAGTCTTAAAACGACTTGCCTTTCACTTAGTGGTTCTTGTATTATAATCATGTTGTTCATTTTGTATTTTATATGGGTATTGAAGTTTCGTTTACTTATATATGTGTATACAAGGTACGGTTAGCAGTTTGTTGTTGATAAAATAGCATTCCTGTAATTTTCTCTGAAATTGAGATTAAGTAACACAAAGCTCTGTTGATATTCCACGATAAGTGGCTGTACAGACTGTACAATATAAATGCATAGTGAAAAGATATCGGACTCTTTTCGTCCAAATATTGCTTCATATTAGATTATGCATAGTAACTTTTGTTTGAGGTGAGACAAGTACAGTTTATTTGAGATTCAAGACCGATCTGCATCGGACCAGCTACCATGAAGTTCTTCTTCTTGTTCTGTCTACCAACTGCAATCCGAACTCATTTTTCTAAGCTGTTTTAGAGAATAAACGAATCATTTTTTGTATATGATTGAAGAAGTTTTGTCCTTATTCAATAGAAACTGTTATTGTAGTGTTATCAACAAACATTGACACTGTGCCTTTTGGAATGGAATTTGGACAGTCTTTCGTAACAAGTATAACAATTACGGGTCACAAAATGATAATTTAGATAAAAATATGCTTGAACCAGTGGGTTCAACAGCAACGGAAACAAGTTATAATACACCCATGGTCACTAGATATAAAAAACATGAATACTTATTTAAATTTAAGTATCATATGTGCACGCAGGGGTACACATCCACCATTTCTATAAATACCCATAATTATGGTGAGAGTGTAATCGTGTAATGTGGGTTGCGATCACATTGAGAATAGTTGTAGTATGAATCTTAGCTGGGCTGCGTTCATTTATGAAGCGTTATCGAAAGACGGGTGTTTTGGAAATGTACTAGTTGCAACTACTATGGAATATAAACTACTTGGCGTTTGCATGATGCAAAGTACACTCTATTTCACGAGTATCCATTACGCTTTGACGTCTACTGAGGTGAACAACTGATCAGTGAGTGTGTTAGTCTGCAACGTTGGCAATAATGAATCGGTTGTAAACGTAGTAAGACTTATTTTTAGCATTTTGTTTTTTTGTATGCAAATGAACTTTTCTACTTTTAACAAGTACAAAATGAATCTGTAACGTACAAAAAAATTCACTTCATGTTCACTTGGACCAGCTGTGCGTGTTGCCTAAACGTCATAGCACAACGCTAGAGCTGAAAGTTGGTCAACAAATATTTATCAAGGTTTAGTCCCACAAGTTGGCGGAAATCAAATAAGTGGAGAACTAAGCTTAGTAAAAAAATTCTAGGCAACATATTTTCGACTTAAATTATCTATTTTTTGTGTGTGCTGCTTTTAGTATAATGAAAACTCACCAGATATGTTATAAAGGGTATTATAATGAGCCCAAGACCCGCAATGTATGCCGACGTTCCAATCCCCAACCCTCTTAGCTGAGTGGGATATAGTTCTCCAGCAAATGGGTAGATTATCAGAAATGATGCCGATATTGCAGATTTTGATACTAGGAAAAGAACTAGCGTCGTTTCGGTATCATCTGGAAGACAAAACGTCATAGTAAGCTACAAAACAAATAACTACGAAGTAACACACGAAATATCCAAATCGATTTGTAATCTTCGTAGGCATTTTTCTGTGGATCAACTTACTATTTGACTGACTTACCACTTGGTATCCAAACAGTAGCTAAACAACAAAATCCGCATATCAACATGCAAGTACAGATAGGCCATCTTCTACCCCACTTATCCATAATAAGCAAACATGCTAAATACGTGGGAACTTCCACTGCTGAAGAGAGAAGAAAGCTGAGATATTCGTTGCTCCCCAAAGAAGGTCCGTAGTAGCTCAAACCAACGTAGACTGTTTCGTTGGCGAACCAGTTTATAGTTATAAGGGTAGTCTTCAACCGCATGTTTGGTGTACCACAGAGATCCATACATCCTGAAACAACAGAACTGAGACACTTAACAAATTATGTAACAATAATTCTCATAGCTGGCTATCATATTGCAGAAAGTTGCTTTAAATATTTTGGAGATATCGGTAAATCATTGTTCATGTTCCACAATTATCTAATAGTCTTTTAATGGGGTCAAAAAATATATTTTTGGTATTCTGTGGTTTCTCAAGTTTATGAGGTCGTAGCAAAATGATTTTGGGGAGCTCATAAGCTTTGAGATTTCGTAAAGCTCACATGTCTGGTTATACAAGGCGATTCAGAAAAACGCGGCAACATTTCTTGGGTAGAGATTTATATTCAGAAATAACAAAAAGTTGACTCAGTGGGAGGAAGCTTTTTTATTGTTATGTGGGTACCTATATTCTATGTAAAATATGAGTCACGACGGTGTAAACAAAAAGTTAATTAAACTAAAATACATACCTGCGTTCCTTTTAATCTTCTCTTCCTCACTGAGGGTCCTCTTACACATAATCTTCTGTTTCAAGTTGTGCTTGAAGCTCTCCGGTAACTCCTTCTTATTGACCCTAGCCAGCGTTTCTAGTATCTCCGAGGCTGCTTCAAATCTGCCTTTTGCTAGTAACCATCTCGGGCTTTCAGGCAAGACGAACCAATATAAGTAGTACAGGATGAATGGTGCTGACGTGGCTACGCCCAGTGTAACCCAATCCCTGATCAAATAGGTTATGCCTGCCAGCATCATGAGGCCGAATGTATAAAACATACAGGTAGTAACTGTGACGAATGACCGGTAGTTTGGACCCACCAATTCTAAAGCTGGAATTAACAAAGCATCTATTAAAAAAACTTCTTGTATAGTCAAGTATCAAAGTGGAAGAGAACGTAACTGACGAACTCCACTAACAACGAGGTGTGTCTTTGGATACGGTGAGTTCCGCACATCCTTATATACCGGGTCTTTCAAATTTGACCCTGACCACTGAGATCCCAGAAACTAACAAAATGCCGCTTAGAAAGATTCAAAATTCTTCCGAAGAGAAATGGAAAGTAGCGAATTTTCCTAAAATTGTTTTTAAAATAAATTGTTCACTAACATTGCCACTTTTTCTCATCTACAAGATGGCGTAATTAGAATTTCAATATGACTTTTCATCTCTTGTCCACCAGCATCAAGTTTTCGTCTTGAGGGCGTCAAATTAAGTTTGTGCATAGGTGAATAGCTTTTAATTCTGATTCCAAAACATTGCCAAAATTTAGTAATTTAATAACAACAGAATCTCCTAGGAGGCCTTAAAATTGAAGATGCAAGTGGATAAAGGTGTCATTTAAATTTTTTTTAAAATTGCTTTTTTGCATCAAACTAAACTTAAGGAGTGAAATTGCATGTTGTTATTTCCACTTTTTCTCCTCTACAAGAGAGATAGCGTAACCAAATTTACAATTGAAGGTTTCTTCTTTCGACATCCATCACCTATTTTGTTTTTTCAGATAAACACTACCTATATTGAAATTTTGTAAATTTAAATAGATATTTCATTCCTAAGTTCAGCGATGTATTCCCTTATTTCGTCATGACATTTGTGAGACGAGAATTATCAGGAGATAAAACGGCATATTGAATGAATACTTTATTAATGGTAATAACAGTAATCATAAATAAGCAGAGGTACATCTTGTAGGCAAAGCCTGAGTCTTCTCTGTACAATGTTTACTGCTCGGTTTATTTCCCTTGTTCTCGGTCTTATACACTCTGTTACTATATTCAATTTGAGGCCTTCAAAACTGTCATATGCTTTCTGCGCATAAAATAGCCATGATTTATTATTTCCTTATAATTTTCGTACGAATAAAAATTAATAGCCAACAAAGAAAATACATCATTGAATTATGGACTGAACTCCATTTAAATATACATACAAAATTCCAATATCGTCCATTTGAAAAAACAAAGTTAGTGATGGAAGTCGAAGAAAGTTGTAGAAAAGAAAAATTGTTAACAACATGCAATTTATTTTGAAATCCCATTTTAAATAAAACCAAGGAAAATTAAAAATGATTTGGCGATAAATCTAGTATATCACACAAATGACAATCTGATAATTTCAAAGCCTTCCTATGAAGTTCTGTTTTTTTTCGAATTAACTAAGATTTGGAAATGTCATTGTGTGGTATATCATATATTTTTGGAATCAGAATTGAAAAATCTATTCACCTGTGTAAAAATCCAGTATGGCGTCCTTGAGAAAAAATAAATTTGACGCTGGAGGACAAGAGACGAAACGTCATATTGAAATTCTAATTATGCCATCTTGTAAAGAAGAAAATGTGGCAAGGTTAATGTGCAATTTATTTAAAAATACCACTACAAATAAAGCCAGAAAAAATAATTGAGTTTTGAAACTTTCTAGTTTCCTGAATACGCAATTTTTCCCCCATGGCTCGGTATGTACAATGCGTTATGCTACTCCAAGTGTTACTACTTCCCACTTTGGTAGTTGACTATGGCATGACAAAAATGTCTATCGTATGTCAACAGACGCAAAATCGGTGAGACAAGAAACTTTGTACATGCCAACAAGGTGACACACAGACGTATGTTGTTGTGTATGAAGTTGACCCAAAGCTCTGGTGTGGTACACCTATTATCAGGATCTAAGTTCATGAATAAATGTAGTCAAAGCTACATCCTGTACGGATGCAAATTGGTAATTGTCAGTCTTATTTCATGGATCCTGGAACTCTATGTTTTGACATCAAGCATGAAATGTCTTACTCGTAAGATGGCTAACAACAAAGAAGTACCAGTAGCAGAATGTATGATTAACTTGATATCTTGTCTGTCCAAATTTCTTACCGAAATTGCATCCATTAACATACTGGGTGTATAAGAAAATATCGGACTGAGGTTCAATGGTCAAAAGTCAATCTTTAATTTCTAAACAAAGATCCTCCTTTTTGCCACTGGCAATCTTAAGAATGTGCAATATTGCATGCAATCTAAGGTCAAGATCGCGTGTGAAGGTCTGATGAAGGTCAAGTATGTGAGGACGGGTGAGTTTTATGATAAATGTATTGGATACCGGTCTTCGGTAGTTTTTAACAAGACTTCTCAAGTACCCCTTCGATTCAACCTTGAACCTTATCCTTCAAAGACATTTCACGGTTCAATTTTTTCAATAATGTTCCCCTTTTTGAGGGTTTCTAGGTCTTACCTTGAATTTTCCCATCAATAATCCTGCTAAGCTTCTAGGACTCTTGCATACCTCCACACATTTGACCTTCATTTAACCTTTAGAAGCGACATTGCTCTTAGATTTTGATGCCTGTTTGGGCGTAAATTTTCAATTCTTTAGACTGCCAGTAATAAAACTCAATATCAAATCCATGGTCACCGTTGAAACCCTTGCTTAGAGTTGTTAAAGACACGACCTGTTTACAAAAATACCTGATCTAGAAAAATACAGAGCAGTTCCTTTACTCTTATTACACCCAGTATGTGTCGGGTGCACATTTCGTGATTCGTCGAACCTTGTACTTTAAAGAAAGAATCCAGAGCTTGCAGACATTATTTGTTTTCTGAAATACAAGACGTATTTCATTGGATAGCGTTTATACCTGTATGTATACTTTATCTGAAGTCACTTGAAACACTGTGAAATACCGGGTGCGTTTTATATATCCATATTTAACACGCTCTGTTGCTGCAAAAATCGACAAATTTCGCAGCAAATATCCCCCGTATAAGATCAAAGGCAGTTTCACCGGTCCACGTGGAGTAAAGCACGCCTATGCGTGGAGATAGCCAATGAGAAAGCGTGTTTTTCAGAGCTTCGAACAGGTACAGGTGGCTACTGAAAATTGAAACAGTTTAGCCAGTGCCGTGTAGCGGTGAATAAACGTGTTTTCTTTAGCCTGTCCGTGTTTTTTCATAGATTTTATTAGTTTGTGTGTTTTTGACTTTTGAATACTCAGTTTACTTGTTGATTTAATTGTTGTGTTGATTGTTCTTGTGTGTCCTAAATATGGCTCTTTGGAGACCTTGGGAAAATGCTCCAAGCCAAGAGGAGATGGTTGATGAACCTGTGCAGGCAGAATTCTTTCATAAAGATTTAGAGGAACAGACCCAAAGAGTAATCCTAAATATGTATGATTGTCTGAAAAACGAAAATCCAGATTCCTCGCAAAATCAAATTTTAAACAGAATTTGTATCCTGACAAAAATCTGTCGGTCTACCATTTATCGGGTTATAAAAAGGGGAGATGTAGTCAACCATTCCTTCCACAGAAAGCGCATAGGGCAAAAATTAAAAAGAATAGACGTGGGTTTTCAGGAAGATATTCGTCGTATAATATACGGATTTTATAAAGAAAATTTGGTGCCCACGTTGGAAATGATACGGGATAAATTAAAAGATTATCCTGAAGATTTTTATAATTACAAATGCTTAGACTCACTGCACTGTATTGTAAAACTGTGTGGTTTTCAATACAAAAAAATAGATAAAAGAATGGTGATTATGGAGTCGTCTCGAATCGTTGAATTGCGCCAAGAATTTTTGCACAAAGTTAAAATCTGTAGAGAGCAGAAAAGAAATCTGATTTACCTGGATGAAACGTGGTATGATACCCATGATGTTGTGCAGTACGGCTGGGTTGACGACAGCAACAAGTGCATTTTAAATGCACCATGCAACCGTGGAAAACGAATCATTATTCTCCATGCTGGCAGTGAAAATGGATTTATACCTAATGCCTTGCTGTTATCTGCCAAAAATATCAAAGAATCATGTGCCGACTATCATGAGGACATGACCTCCGACTTATTTGAAAAGTGGATAGAGCAGCAGTTAATACCAAACATTTCCCCAAATTCAGTGATTATTATGGACAATGCGCCATACCATTCCCGACAGAAAAACAAAATTCCGACTACAGGCACAAAAAAACAAGACATTATTGATTTTATGAAGGATAAGGGAATGGAAATACCACAAAAATCAACCAAAGCCATATTATTGGATCTTATTAAAAGACAAAAATTTGAAAAAGGGTATGTTGTTGACAATCTGCTTCAGCAAAATGGCCATGAAGTATTACGTCGACCTCCCTATTACTGCATTTTTAACCCGATTGAGTTGGTCTGGGCTGCTTTAAAAAAAAGTAAGAAAACATAATCAGACCCCTCAATTAAGTGAATCGCTATTGGCCACAATAAGAGATGCAGTATCTCATATTGCTGCCACAGACCTATGGAAGCAGTGTTCTAGGCATATTATTGAAAAAGAAAATGAATATTGTGTTTTGCCTCCTGTAAATCCCGTTGTAATTCCTCTACAAGATGACTCTAGCGACAGCTCCGAAGGCGAGGATGATATATAAATACCTATAATGTAAATCTTTATATACCTTTTTATATACCTACCTGCTATGTAAGTATATGTCAAACGTTGGAATTCTGTAATTTTTCCATTTCTTAACTTTCAGTCAACATAAATTAAACTCCCAATATAAGTATTTTTTATCCCAAATCAAAAAAATAAGAAGATAGTAAAATTCATTTATTGTGATATAAAAACATTATTATTATCGTTCTAAATAAATGACCGCACGCCTATGATACGTCATGAAATTACAAAGGACGCGCCGACCAAAGGTTTTTATGCTATTTCAAGTGACTTCAGATAAAGTATACTTCGAACGGCTCCGTACCCGCTTTAATTAAATTCTGAAGCCTGATTGTTGAAAATATACTTTGTGATGCATCATTACAAATTAACATTCGGCACCGGCAGACTTCCAGAAGGTCCCAAATATGTCCAGTAAAGCTAGTCTTATTTTTACTTAACCTTTCTCACCTGATACCAGTCAATCAAGCAGCTACCCAACCTAGCAGGTACATACATAGGCGTTGAAAGTAACGCTATTCAAGGCTCCACATCTTTTTTTATAAAATAAATAATGTCTGGCAGCCCTTACGTCTTAGAGTACTTGGAGCACACCAAAAAATTGTTGAGGTGGAGATGAAAATGACTGAGCTATAATAACGGTTGATAAAGTTATTGAAAATTTCTCCTGTCTCTATACTGCGAGACAAACACGCTTCTAAAGTTCCGATGTCACATTAAAATAAGAGCTCTCCCTCACCGGGAAGCATGGCAACGTCCATAGAATACACTACTGAAGTCTATGCCAGCTCGATTTTGACGTCCCTTGCCACTAGTCGCCACATCAGGGAGCAGACTAAATTTACTTCATTAGGTTGGTTTGACTACAGATGCAGGTGACTTCGCCATGGAATTTCAGTGTAGAGGAGCTTGAAAGATTTGTCGCGCCTAGGATGATCTAGTATGATACCATTAGCCCTGTTGCTTCTAAATGAAAGTCCATTGGCTTGAGAAGTAAAAATGGAGTCAATATTACCCACTCAAGACTTTCTGAGAAATCGTAATTTTGACATTTAAATTGAAAAAGTGTTCCTTTTATTTTGAATATAAACTAGGTAACTAATTCATTCATATAAAGCACCAGTTAAATAGCCGAAACTGCCCCAAAAGTGATAACATAGCCACAAAGTTATGTCCGCTGGCGTAATGGTGTGGCTTGTGAATATTGTCGTAAGAGTTTGGTTTTCCGGAAGCCAGCCGTTTTTTGGAACACAGCGAAAAACCAAAAAACTTCTTTTTCGCTGAAACGGGATTTTTTTACGTTGATTTTTCTAATTTTTGGGCCATCAAAAAAGGTCTCTAGGCAATTTTTTTGCTAAATTGCTTACTTTTCGCGCTACAGATTGCTGATAGCTTGTTGGCGAGGAGCTTGCAGGTTCAAGGACCGCGTACACAATTCACCAGCCGCCGCACCGTTGACGCGGACGATCCTCTTAATATTTGGACGTCCTCAATGTCTCACTCTCAGTGATAGGCCAGTCGATTTCAAATAATAATCTCGTTTGTAGTTGTGGCCACATACGCGTATTAATGCATTTTTGAAATTTATGCGTTTAAGTAGAGTACAAGATGCAGAAATTTCCTTTCAGCCGCTTATCAATTGACTGGATAAGTTAGTGAGGTATATTATTTTCATTTAGAATTGGAACAACGACAAAACACCTAGAGCTGCAAAAGAGGTGTGAACATGTATATAAATGAGTGGCAATGATAAGAATGCATTATAGGATGTAGGAGCCCAATGAATCATTAAAAGACTCGTTTTCGAGGTCCACGTTGTTTTCAGAATCATCCTCTAAAATCAGTTTGATCACCGGTGGTTCTTGGTCTATGACCATGATAAGAGATTTATCAGTTCTTGAGCCGCGTCTATACGTTGGGCTGACATGCGCCAACGCAAATATGTAAAGAATAGATAATGGCCTATTGAGATTAGCATTTGACGATGTCTTCTCTGCACACTCGCTGTGGAAACCAATAATAATGCTCATTGGTCTAGTCCTTGTCTCAATGTATCGGTGTACGTTAGCTTGAGGTGTAGACACGGCAGTATGCTCTGCTGTACAACTTATCTGCATAGGTCTTCACACCTTTTTTGAGTAGCTCAGGGATTTTTTGCGTTTCCAATTATTGATAATGGAAGGACAAGTATATGTGTGTATATTTCAGAGTTGAGTTAATTGAACAGAAATATAATAATAAAAAAAATGTCATCCTATCAAAATCGAAAATACACAAAACCGATGCATCTTCCGGTAAATGGTAAATGGTTTGTTCATTATTTCTTGTCTCCAATGAAATATACGGAAAAAAATATTTAACTTCAATTCTAAAATGTACACATACTTATATCGTCAAGCAACAGAAGAGAAGTTACTCCACTCACTTAAACTCATAAACTTCGAAAATTAGTTCATTCGAAAAAGTAGGTGAACGCCAAACTGAAAAGCGAGCTCAGGGTTCAAAATTCAACTGCACTATTACTGCTTAACCCCCACCATGTAGTAAGAGATCGTCTGCGTCGTCAACGCGTTGACGGCCGGGCTGCCAGGCGTGTACGATTTTTCGCTTTGGCAACTTCAAATGGCAATTAAAATGGGTAGCTTGGCGATTGGCTGCTTTAGTGGCGCCCAGTATCCAGCAAATTGGCGATATCTGGCGATTTTTAGCATTCCTAACGCCACCTAATTTGTAATCTATTTTTGCCGATATAATAATAGTAATAAATCGTCTTTATTTGATAGGTTACAAGTTTAAACATGTAGGTGTATAAAAGATATGATGTATATGACATATGTAAGTGAAGGCTATTCAATATTTCATGAGTTTAAAGTATAAAATTGTAACAGTTATACAAACAAGGGAATGGTATATTGGTAACATTTTTGTGTGAGGTGTCAAATAAATTTTATCAAGTATTCAAAATAAATTTCTTCATATGTCCTTTAAATTCATCATATGATAGCAATTTTGTGAATCGAGGTATAGCATTGTAAAAAATAAGTGTATAGATTAATGAAATATAGTTTCGTTCAGATTACCCGTGTCTAACAACCTCCCTTTTCAAGGAATTGCTTATTATCAATATTATTATTATGCCTAAGCTCCCTCACCTCCGCTCTTCAGTTAAATGCAAAGACCTTTTTTGATGGCCCAAAAATTAGTAAAAATTTACGTGTAAAAAATCGCAGATATCCTCAGCCACCTCAGCGAAAAACAGGTTTCTTGGGTTTTTGGCTGTTTTACAAAAAACGGCTGGTTTCCGGAAAATCATATTCATACAACAATACTCGTATTCGCAATCCTTTATTACACCATTACGCCAGCGTAAATAACTGTGTGGCTATGTTATCACTTTTGACTCAGTTTCGGCTATTTAACTGGACTATATGATTTGCTATGGTCAACACTTCAGATATACATATTTAATTTTGCATCAAGCAATCTATCTCCCACTCTCGAATTTTTTAGTGCACCTCCGTTTTATGGGCCTCTGTATTGGTTAATAATCCACATACATATTATAAACGGAATTTGGTACATCGCTGGAATGGTCAATCCCACAATCACTCTGCTACCAGCCCACCACCAAAAGTTTTGTGCAGTAACAGTGAGGGCACTCCCTACCAAAAGCGTAGTTAAACAAAGAAAAAACGACTTCTTTCTTCCTATAGAATCATTGAGTCTTCCAAACGTGTACACTCCAATCGGTCCTCCTATATTCAATGCCACAAGGCCTAAGGTTGGATAGATGTCCTTTTCGCATACTAAGTCGAACTGAAAACAGAATTCAAAAATAACTTATCCCTGCAAGAAAAGGTTGAGATTAGTGAGAGAGATTATGATATTCCTAAAAGATCCCTAAGCCCCTAGAGTGATTCAACCCCCAAGCTCAAAAACTACCCCAAGACAGGTGGAAATAGATTTTCGGATGTCAGTTGTTGGAGCATGGTGTTCCCATGTATTTTTCGATGCTGCTTCCGAATATGGGTCAACAAAATTTTTGCCCCCTGGAGTTTGGATACCTATGAATAATATGGCCTGCCCCACGGGTCTCAACCTATGTTTTTTTTGTGGGGCTATGTAATTTATGACATAAAAACTTGTTCTAGTTCTTGGGATTGCAAAATACAAAAATGTTGAGTAGTCTAGTTACTATGGTAACGTGTACACTTTCCGTAACATCTTTTTAATTGGACACTACTGAGTGTGTCATACAAATGCACATGTCTGTCCTTGAATTTAAGAACCTAGTTACTCTAGTTGATAGGTTTTTTTGTTTGCATAATCTAAGACATCAGATTAAGATCTTTCGATTGGTATTTGAGAATTTCAAATACAATCATTATTTCCTTGAAATATTGAGAGCTAATTCTTAAATTATTTAACTTTTAATGGATGCAACCATGTATACAGGGTGGTCCATCCATGTGTGGGCGGAATATTACTCATAAACAAATACATTTTGGGAAAATCTATTTATGGGATGTTATACATGACATTTGAGGGCACATTCCTAAAATACTCCCCCAATTTTCCCCTACATATCAAAGTTACCTCAAATTCTATTGCATATTTGGATAAACCAATTCAGAAGACAAAAATTGATATAACATACGATGAGGTTTTGGTAATTAGCTACTAGGTATAAGGTGTTTTGTCTAGAAAAACCCCCCACTTCAGCAACCCCTCAGTCCGCCATTTTGAAATTTGGAGTGTTGAATTTGCATCACCTTGTATATCTGTGCAAGTTTGGATTCAATTTTTTATAAGCTTTTTTGATACTAGAGACATAAGGGTTTTTACGACTATGTTTTCGGTTATTAGTACGTCTTTTATGGAACGGCTTAATTCCCTAAAATATCGCATCATTCTTGGAAACAAATAAATTGTTGATTAGTTACAACCTGTCAAAATTAGCCTTGTGGGCATTATAATAAAAACGTGTTTGAAAATGAATTTTTCTAAAGAAGAAATGGTGAATAGGGTGTTCGTTTTGGGCGAAGCCCAAAGAAATGGTTTCCTAGCATCTCGCGTTAAAAAGCAACGGTACCCTAATATGCGACATCCACGGCCGGAAACATTTTCCACGCTACGAGAACGTTTTCAATCAAGTGGAGCAGTGGAATATAGTAAAAAATGTATAAATAATCCAAGTGTCACGCTGTCACCAATGAGGCGAATCAGTTGGAGGTTCTTATTAAAGTTGCAGGAAAATCCTCATTTAAGTGCACGGAAAATTGAAGAAACTGATATATGCAGAACTTCTGCCCAAATGATTATTCACAGGCCTCAAGGTCTTCGTCCTCAGGATTTCGCAGCTCTAATGGAGTTTAGTAGAATAATGCTAAATAAAGTGAGTGAAGACACTACTTTCCTGGATAAGGTTCTTTTTAGCGATGAGGCAACTTTTAACAGCATAGGTGTTGTCAACAGGCATAACATGCATTATTATGCGACGGAAAACCCTTACTGGGTTAGGCAAATAGATTTCCAAAATAAATGGAGCTTGAATGTTTGGGTAGGAGTTATTGGCATACAAGTTATCGGGCCTTTCTTTTTCGACAACAGATTAACAGGTACAGAATACTTGAATTTTTTGATCGAACATTTGCCTTTGCTTTTAGATGATGTCAACCTGCAAACTCGGATGCATATGTAATTCCAACATGACGGCACTCCTGTGCATTGTCATAATCGTTGGACACCTGGAGTAACAATCGTTGGATCGGTCGTGCTGGGCCTATATCAAGACCTCCTATATCACGAGATATGACACCGATGGACTTCTTGGACTTCTATGGGGCTACGTTAAGTAAGAGGTTTAAATATGAAGGAAAGGATTAAGGATGCTTTTCTGAATAAAAGGGAACACATGCTGAGGGATGTGCAACGGTCATTTATCCAAAGAATAGGACTGTGTATTCAACATGGTGGAGATATTTTCGAGCAGTTTTCATAGATTAGATCTTGAGTAGTGATAGTTGTTTGTTTATGTTGTTGTTAAATTTGTTTTTCTCTATTACGCTTGAAGCTGATTTATACTGTTCTGACAGTTATTGGTTTTTACGTCAAATCTGTACTCTTAGTGGCAATATGAACTAGCCCACTGTTTGTCTTTTGTTTCCATGGATTATGTGATTTTTTTCCTTAATTTTGATGTGTTGTTCTATTAAAAGCTTAATAACTCAAAATCTGGTGATTTTATACCAAAAAAACCTTATAAATAATTGAATCAAAATACACAGATATACGGGGTGGTGCATTTTAAATGTATGAGAAAAAGTACAATTAGCGTTTTGGACCACCCTGTATGAGCAAAAATGAAAATTCGAAAATGTAGTGCATCCAGACCTAGACTGTGAAGAACACACTCCACAAATATCACCAGTTGAATGGTCTCTTTGAACTATGCCATAAGCTCTTTCTGAAATGACATAATGTATTATAGTACTAAATCTTCTGAAAACCATTTTACTGGAAGTCATAACAAAACTAAAAATAAGATTTTTTTTCTATTTTTTATCACTCCATAGGTGCCAGATAATACGATGAATTTGAAATACCCATTTACACATTTCCATGGTAGCTGGAACTATCAAAATCATCAATTTACTCAAGAGCACAAACTTACATCGATAACAATACTTGAAAATACTACTGACTCGTCATAGACCCATCCATCTTTGCAGTATTCTTGAGGCCATGAGGTGTTAACAATAATATCTCCGATCAGTCCCTCACATCCCTGTAGACGTAGAAATAAAAATTAATACACATTGAAGGAAATACATAACTGATAACGAAAGGTTTGTCATTTGCAGAAAAGAATTGGATAAAAATGGTACCATTTTTCATAACTTTTTAAGCGATTTAATTGAAAAACGATACGACCTTAGATGATAACCAATATATTGAGATATAGTTCTAGTCACCGCTCTTGACGGTAGCGTCATCAACACTATATGAAATAAGTAAACAGATCGAGTCTCTTTACCATGGGCGCAGACTAATCTTCAGCACATCTGCCACTCTCTCCAGTACGTATGAAGTGCATATCAGGGGACCGCTATTTTCATTCTCTTCCTGGAAATACTATAATAAATTTAGCACGAGCTGTCGGCCCTCTCCATTAATCGTATTTTCAGGCATTGTACAATTTTATATTGAAGATTGATAACCGGACAACTTAAATTATACGCCGATGTCGAGTAAGTTGTCACCATGTTGTCACTCTGACAAATATTATTGAAGGGCACTCATACGTAACGACAAAGTTTTCGAGACCGAGACACACACAACTGAAAAACGTATTTCTCTGAGCTTACCGAACAAACGTTCACACATAGGGGTAGGTTGCATGTGCATGTATGAAGGGGATGGAGATATATAAAGCGATACTGGTAGTCTTACTTTGACCCGCCAAGAACTACAACTATACTCATCAGAGAGGTTTTTCAGGTGCTGAATAATATTGAGGTCCGCCCCCAGCTTTCAGTGCTTATGCAACGTGGGACAAACATAATATCAAATGTAAATTGGCTGCCATCATTTTGTAATTCAAAAAACTGAACTATGTGTTCGAAGGTAGGTGGGTAGTTGAAAGCAAGCTTGAAAAGTGATATCAGTCAAGTGTTGGTTCATATTTGTTATCATTTTACGCCGCTGGCAAACTACCGGTCCTGCCTATGCGAAACTTTCTTTGTAGACTCGGATATACCGTAACCAGTCATATCACTAACAGCCTGGAAAGCAAATATAGGAAACAAAATCGCCAAAATTTGTATCAATTCAGGGGGTGGATCTACCTTACACATGTAAATAAGCTGTTCGTGAACAAAAACCAATTTTTCTCATTTTCAAGATAATGACAGCCAATTCACATTACAGCGTTAGTGCAGAATTACCATGTATGTTGTATTTTTCTAGGACAGAAATATATTTTTTGCTTATTTTATAAAGACGTGTTTCAGTATAACATAGTTCTTTTAACAGTTTTCATACCTGTACTAATTCATACCAGTCCACAGCATACCTCTTACATTCGGCATACTCTCCATTTTCGAAAGGAATAGACAAATTTCTCATTTGTTCTATGGTGGTGATGTTCTCCAGCTGAGGCACTCTGCACCAATGTTTCGGAACATCTGCCATAAACAGTTGGTTGAAAGCCCCAAATCCGCATGGAAAACACGCTGGCAGGCAAACCAACCACAACATAAGTTTTTGATATGTGCCAAACTCGCCCACTATGGGTAGAATATCGTCCATATCCAATCCATCCTAACAGATGAGACCGAAATGGTTTTATTAGAGTCGACGTACGAGGTATTCCGCTATAAGTTAACCCCCTCTACCTTTTTGTACGACCATATAGAAAAAAAAGTTATATACAGAAGTCTAAAATAAACTTCTTTCCCACATTGTAACATTTCTCAAATAACATGTAGGTCATGCGTTACCTTATTTTTGAGCTCCTTATTAGTATCTTACAACTCTAGAATATTTATACGTATTACCTTTGAAAATAAAAGACCTCCGAGCTGTCAAAGTTGAGCATTCTTGTACACTGAATGGCTTATAACCCAACAACTAATCATCAAAGCGTTATAATATATCAGTATTAAACTGCTGTCTTGATTCGGGTCTAAAGGCCGTCGTCGGTTGGAATTTCTTCGTAACGCTTCGCTAGCACGAGTGGCAAGCTTCTTCAGAGGTCCTCCCATTTCCGATGCTGGATGTAGACTGTCAGTCGTGCTAGCGAAACGTTAGGAGGAAATTCCAACTGACGACGGCCTTCAAACCCGAATCAAGACAGCAGTTTATCAACTGGCCGCAAAAATCGATGTTTAGGGGGTTTTTATTTTTCGTGTTTTTTGCCTCTAGCTCCATCGCCACCGGAGAGATTTTCAAAAATTATAAATGTTTAGCGGATGGACCGACAGACAGACAGACAGGCAGGCGGAATGAGTAACTAGGTTTTACGTGTTGTACATGCCATACAAGTACAACAAAAACCGTAACATCCCATTTTCGAAACTTTTCGCGATTACAATACTTCCCTGCTAGTGGCGAAGGTAGTAAAATTAGCTTCCCCCAAGAAGAATTTTGAATGTGAAACCTAATACTTCTTGCAATAACAGAGTATACTTTTATGTATAATATGGTATAAATGTATAAGAAGTCAGAAGGTTCATAAAATAAAGAAAGTTGTATTTACTTCGATATTTGGGTCTTGGTTGGAACTTATTCATTAAAAATCACAATGGTTGTATTCACTAAAAAATAAATATATGTCTTTTTAACATTCACAAAATCGAGGACAAGAAATGGAGTTCATATATTGAAAGCCTGGTAAAACTAGGAATATATTTGTACTCGATAGTCTGAGATAATTGAGCTTGAACAATTTATTTCCGAGGCTTTACTGAATATCCACGTTGCAGAACAGGCCTACCTCTATTTCACAAACTCGCTTTGGCTTCAATTAGAGGTTTTCCACTAATACAAATGCAACACTCATGGAATCAATTACTGCATATAAAAATGCATTACTTACCTCATTATTATGCTTAGTTTTCCCATTATCATCCATACCGCACACAAGCACAGAAAAAACACTGCTCTAAACACAAGAATTATGTCATTGTAGGGAATCCTTAGAACTTATACGTTTTATCAGATTATCCTATTGTTTCGCTATCACAACTAAACCAATTTCTTTTTCACTTTTCTAAAATTAGATTGTTGCCGTCCAAAAAATAAGATGGCCCTAACTTATTTCATTAGCCGTATATTGGTAACTTTAATATGTGAAGTTAGATATTCCAGCTTAAACTTCGAAATGTACTGTGAACTGAATATTGGAAAGTTAAACTAATTAGTTGGATTTAAAGCAGGATTCTTTTTATTATCCCCCCGATAGATGGAATAAGCTGTTCAGAGAATTCATACACGCAATCAGGGGTAGTGTGGCAAGTGGATGGACTATGTACGAGTATGTTCCTCAGTTCCACTGGCGCTCCCACAGGGGGGGGGGGGGTAAAGGGGGTAATTACCCCCCCCAGATGACTCGAGCAGTCTTTGAAAAGATGGAATAAAGTGAGCGTCTTATAAAGAACTCTGTAACTTTAAGAAAAGATAGTGGCGACACTGCCAACCCGCTCAGTGCGCATGCGACTAGCGACTACTCTCCCACCAACAACAACGGTGTGCGCTCCTTCCTGTTGGAACAGTTATAGTCTAGCCTTTTACGGTCTAGTCTAGTGTCTAAATTCTGTACCAGTCCGGAGTCCGCAACAAAATTTGGCTGAGAAAGTGATCAAGAAGAGTTTTGTTGGTCTGTTTCGTATTAACGCTATTTTCTATGTTCTATTGATTTTTTATTTTCCACGCATAAGCCAGAAAATTAATTTTTGTTTATTTTTAATTTTTATACTATAAAAGCATCGTGTCTAAAAAAATTACAGACGAAAAAACGGAAACTTATATAATTTCAATTACGAAGTATTTGGTCCATACTCCAGCTATCATTATCATCTATGTCTATTTTGTCTCGGAAGTCCCTGTAAGCACTTTAGTGCATTTCGATCGTCCAAGATGGCAAATTATATATTTATTTTTTGAAAATTGCGTGAACTTAAGAAATCTTGTTTTCCAAACAGAAAAGGTTCTTTATTATGAGATATGTGAATGCGTGAAAACCAATAATGCAGTTTATTTGACAATATTTGTGTAACTTTTGGTGCTGGTTGACGGCTGCTGTTGTCAGGTTGAGTCAAAGGAAACAGAATACCATCGATTGGTTCCTTTCTAAACAAAACAAACTGTCTGATACACCGGCACAAGAATTACCGGAAGAAACTGATGATAATCCTACAATTCAACCTGAGCCGTCCACTTCAAAATTTCTTGATGTTGCACCGTATGCTAAACCAAGTGTTGAACAATCGGGTGCGAAACCTAAAGGATCCAACTTTGTTGATGTTGCGCCATATGTAAATTTCAGCGGCACCTTGTCTTCCCATGAAAGATATACCTTATTGAGGTGTGCAATGATCCCTAATCACTCTTTCAAATATCCCTATTCCACACACTTGAAAAATAATAAAGAAGTGAAATGATACTTTCAACACTTTGAGAAATTTCCTTGGTGGTCATATTCAGAGGTACTACAAAGGCTTTTCTGTAAATATTGCTTGGTTCTTGCAAATTTAGGAGGAGTACATGAATCAACTAAATTGGGAAAACTTGTTACCGTACCACCAAAGAAATTTTCGAAATTGTATGGCAAAACCGGTGATTGTAAGACACATGAGAACTCAATATATCATACAGAAGCAGTTTCAGATGCTACAAACTTTTTAAAGATCCAGAGAATGATATAAGAAATATAATAGGTTTAGAGAGAATTGAGCAAGTATCAGAAGATCGGCAAAGATTGACTCCTATAATAGAATCTATAATTTTTTTAGGACGCCAAAATATACCACCTAGAGAGCATAGAGATAGGGGACGACTTTTTTCTAATGACAGCAGATTGACGAGGATCTCCTTAATAATGGAGTAAATTTTGGAGAACTAATACGGCTTAGAGTCGAGAGCGGCGACAATTTATTGAAAAAAAACTTAGAGCAATCAAAAGCGCATGCGACGTACATAAGCAGCAGCATCCAAAATGAAATTATAGAATGTTGTGGCGAAGAAATCTTGGATATAGTTTTAAGTCGCGTCAGGCAAAGTCAGTAT